GGGGAGGGGACGCCCGGGCGAGGGGACACCGCCGCGAGGCAGCAGATCTCGACGGGCCGAGGCCGCGGACAGCCGGCGGAGGGCAGGCTGGCCATGTCTTCTCGCGAGAGCTGCGCCTCCTGCTCCTCCTCCTCCTCCTCCCCCTCCTCCTCCTCCTCCTCCTCCTCCTCCTCCTCCTCCTCCTCCTCCTCCTCCTCCTCCTCCTCCTCCTCCTCCTCCTCCTCCTCCTCCTCCTCCTCCTCGTCTTCTTCCTCCTCCTCCTCCTCCTCCTCCTCCTCCTCCTCCTCCTCCTCCTCCTCCTCCTCGAGGGCCGGATCGCGGAGCGTGCCGCTGCTACCTCGCGGTGGATTGCACGGCTCGTTGGCACGAGAGCACGTCTCTGGGCACCACAAAGCAGGAGAGAGAAAATCGACGGCGAACGACGGGGGGGGGGGGAAGTGAGAAGGAGAGGACCTCCTCAGGAGGCGGCGGGGCTTCTGAGAAGGCCGGGGGACTTCGAGCCTCCTGAGAACTCAGGAGGGAAAGAAACACACAGACACAATTCATCGTCGATTCCCCAGAAAATATGGGAAACTGTGGGAAGTGGGGGGGGAGGACGAAAGCTCCAGAACTATGTTGGAAGCTATGGGGAATCTTGTCTTGCGTGTGTCTTTGTTTGTGTGTCCTGTGGCCCCTTCAACAGAGAACCACAACCACAGCTCAGCTAATGTTTTGGGAGGGGCCCTCGGCGCAGCGCCCGCGGACCTTGGCATGCACAGTATGGTTGTGGCTGTGGTCGATTTGGCCGTTCTGCGACGCCACGTGGACCACGACCAGTACGAAGCGGGGTTTGGTGTTCCGACAAGTTTGGCATGCGCAAGACCTTCCCCAGGGTGCGCCCTCGATGTGGTTGTGGTCGCTGGCCGTCCCCGCTTAGCAGGCAACTCTTGGGAGGTTAGATGCTGAATCGGTGCTTGTATCTTCCTGGTCGAGTGCTGGCCATCTTGATCTGGCTCCATCCCGTTTTTATCCGGGTTCATCCCGTTTCTTCTGGCTTACTCCCAGGCTCAATTCGGCCCCATCCAGCCCAATGGCAATCTATTCGGGCCCAAACGGCCCTGCTCGTTCTGATACAGCTCTCGGGTCGTCTCGGTGCCGTCTTCGGGCTCCTGCCTGTCTCTCGGGGCTGTGTCGGACCGGTCTGGGGCTGTCCCGGGCCATCTTGGGGCCCTCTGTGGGACCGGCCCTCCCTGCGGATGGCCCTGCGCCCCGGAGCCGCTTTGTTGACCGCCCGTGGGATTTCTGGGAACTCAGGAGGGAAAGAAACGCACAGACACAATTCATCGACGATCCCTAGGAAAATATGCAACAATATGGGAAGTGGGGGGGAAGACAAAAACCCAGAAAATATAGGAAAATATGGGGAATCCTTTCGTTTGTGTGTATTTATTTGTGTGTCTCAGGGCCCCTTCAGGAGACCCCCCCCCCTCAGGGCCAGGACCGAGTACCAAGGCCGCCGGCTGAGCGGATCTTGCCGTCGGGGCTCTGGTCAGGGGCAACGTTGGGGGGGGGGATCGGCTCAGGGGGGGACGCATCGACCCCCTAATCGCACTATCTATCGCCTATCGGGGCCCGATAGCCCACCCCGCCCAGGAGCGTGCGCATTCGCTACCGTGGGCCTATCGCCGGTTCCAGCTCGATATTCCCCGTCCCCCTCTGAGCCAGTACCTCCCTGATGATCGCTGCCCCTCACCCGAGTGCCGAAGCCGAAAAAGACAAGATCGCCGGTCGAGCAGATCATGTCGTCGGGGATCTGTGTGGGCACGATTTGCCGCTGCGTTTTGGAGCTCCAGGGTCCGTTCCGGAGAAACCTCGAGGCGCAGTGGATATGGACCAACAAGCTGGCTCCCAAAGGCGGGAATTGGGGCGCCCTTTCCCAGAGAGTCCAAGACGCAGCCGATACGGCGACAAGTCTGAGGAGGGAGACAGACGCGCAGACGCCAGGAATCGCCGATGCCCGGGATCCTGCGGCAGACCTGGGGCGTGGAGAGGAGGGCGAAAGTCCGGCACAAATGTGGAAAACGTATGGGGAGTCCAGGGGTTTGCGCCCAGTCATGTGCGTGTCCCAGGTGCCCATTGACTGCAGTCCTGGCGGCAGGCGCGCGCCGAGCCTCGCCCCGCGCCTGCCAGGAGAGACGACGTGGCGGCGGCGCGCTTCGCGCTCGAGGCGGCGCCTGGGGGCCGGGCCAGCCTGGCGCAGGGCCCCGCCGGCCGCGCCGGGGGCACGCCGCTGGAGTGGGCGCTCATCGGGGGAGGCCCCTCTTAGGGGAACGAAGATCGGAGGTGGACAGACCTCCTACACTGACACGTCGATGAAGGAATTGGCCGTTTTCGGTTCGCGGGAGGGCGCCGCGGCCGTCATTTTTGCGGGTCCAGGTCCGTCGGTTTCGGTCCCAGGCCGTTTTCACTAAGGGGAGGTTTACCAAAGGGAGGTTTGTCCACCGCCGACGCAAGGATAAAACTTGGACTTGGAGGTACGCGCGGATTTCTCTTGAATCCGCGCTGGACCCCCCTTCCTGGCGCGCGGAGCGCGCCGGGGGCGGCGCCGGAGGCGCCGCCAGGGGGGTCCAGCGCGGGTCCGAGAGATCCGCGCGGACCTCCGAGCTTTTATGTTCATGTCATGTCTCGTTCCCCTATACCCTCTGCTGCTCCCGGCGGGGCAGGGCCAAGGCCGTCCCTCCCCCGAGGTCCTCGCAGCTCGATGTTCGGGGCGATGGAAGGGGGTTCGGGCCGGACGAAAGGGGCGGGGATTGGGAAAGTCAGGAGGAAAAGAAACACACAGACACAATTAATCCTGGATTCCCCAGAAAATATGGGAAAATATGGGAAGTGGGCGGGAAGAGAGAAACCCAGAAAATATAGGAAAATATCTGGAATCTTTTTATTTGTGTGTATTTATTTGTGTGTCCTGGGGCCCCTTCAGAAAGGGGGGGTTACGAAATTTGCTGCATGCAGCTGGTTTCGGGTCACCGAGGGGCCCATTCCGCGATACATAGCCGCCTCCGGCGGCGGGAGGCGCCTGAAAAATCAGCTACGTGAGCTGATTCTCAAACCTCCTTTGTTATCCCCCCCTTTCGCCCGACCCGAGGGGTGCGGAGAGAGCGGGCGAGAAGACCGGCAGCACGTCCTGCTCATGTTGGGACCGGACTCGCTGTCGGTGCCGCTGCCAGCCCTGTCCGTCCGGCCCCAACAGCGGCCGCTGTCCGTCTAGGATTATGTCGGGCGTGTCCCCCTACAGGGGGATTTTCGACGAAAACTAGAAAATACCCCAAAAATACACCAAAAGGGTCAAAACATTTGCAAAAAATAGTCCCCAGACTATTTTTGGCTTATGTGTTATTCTTTTTTGGGTGTATTTTTCCTTTTTCGTCGAAAATCCCCCTGTAGGGGGACACGCCCGACCTAAGTCTAGGACATTATTGATTGTTGCGCACCGTGCCCGTGTTTGTTGGTACCCATTTGGGGCGCCCGCATTTCTGTGGAGCTGGGCGGCGCCGCCCCGCTGGTAGGCGCCGGTCCGACGGGTCTGCGCGGAGCTCCGAAAGTCGATGTTCGCGGGCCTAGAGGTTGACACCAACACTCGGGCCGGGCGAAAGGGGGGGATTGGGAAAGGGGGGGTTACGAAATTTGCTGCATGCAGCTGGTTTCGGCCTCGCCGAGGGGCCCATTCCTCGACACATAGCCGCCTCCGGCGGCGGGAGGCGCCGGGAAAATCAGCTACGTGAGCTGATTCTCAAACCCCCCCTTTGCTATCCCCCCCTTTCGCCCGACCCGATAGAGGTTGACACCAACACCCAAGATCGGCGGTGTGCCTCGACCGAGGGAGGACGATCCCGATCTCGGTGATGGTGGTAATATTCTGGCTTCCAAGGTGGCCGAAGTATTGCCACCAGCACCGGAATCGAGGCTCAGTTTCCCCATGTGGAGGCAACCCCCCTTGTGCTGGTGTTGGTGCCAATTTCCAGGCCTCCAAGATGTGTAGTGTTTTTCGCGTGTCTCTATTGCGACCCTGGCGTCTGAGCTTCTTCGAGCTGGGCGTGTTCGCCCGGCCTCGCGCCCTGGGGCCAGCATAGATCAGGAGGGAAAAAACACACAGACATAATTAATCGTCGATTCCCCAGAGAATATGGAAAAATATGGGAAGTGGGGGGAAGACAAAAACCAGAAAATATTGGAACATATCGGTAATCCTGTTATTTGTGTGTATTTATTTGTGTGTCCCAGGGCCCCTTCAATAGATCGATCCAGCTCAAAACGTGACGCAAAAAGATGGAGTCTGGGCATCCAGTAGTGATTGTTGCTACGGTGTCTCAATGTGTCGCAACCATCCTGTGGTGCTGGGTCCTCGTTTTGAAGAGACAGCGCCCCGCGTCTCCTCTCCTCTTCTCTCTTCTCCTCTCCTCTCCTCCTCTCCTCTCCTCCTCCCTCCTCCTCTTCCTCCTCCTCCTCTTCATCCCCTTCTCCCTCCTCCTCCTCCTCCTCCTCCACCCCCTCACATGGTTCGTGGCCCCACAGGGAGCTCCACCGAAGGCCCCAGTGGTAGGTCCGCATGCGAGGAACGCCATCCATTTTGGCACACCCCTCACACGGTTCGTGGCCCCACCGCCTCGTGGTGTCTCTTTCTGTTCTCTCTGTCTCTCTCTCTCTCTCTCTCTCTCGCTCTCCCTCGCCCTCCCTCCCTCCCTCCCTTTTAGTTTGTCCCTCTTTATCCCTTTTCTCGCCCTCCCCTTTCAGGAGGAAAAGAAACACACAGACACAATTAATCCTCGATTCCCCAGAACATATGGGAAAATATGGGAAGTGGGGGGGAAGACAGAAACCCAGAAAATATGGGAACATATGGGGAATATGTTTATTTGTGTGTATGTATTTGTGTGTCCTGGGGCCCCTTCACCCTTTCCCTCCCTCTCACCCGAGGGGGGGGGGGGGGGGCGTGACGTGTGCCCCGGCCGCCGGGTGCGGCGGCCGCCTCCTCCCGTCAACGGCTCCGCGGACATGGCCAGGCTCCTGGTCGGCCACGGCGCGCAGCTGGAGGCGGAGCCCGCCTTCCCTTCCTCGTTTCCCTCTTCTTTCCCTAAGGGCTTGTCGCCTTTTCGCCGATCGACTTGTGGGGAGCGAGCCAGACAAATCCAGGTAAATGCAGATAAATCGAGGTAAATCCAGATACATCCAGGCAAATCGAAACAAATCCGGGTAAATCCAAAGATCTCCGAGGAAAGGTGAAGCAACTCGCGGCCGCTCCAGCGCGAGTCGAAGGACGGCAGAAGTCGTTAAGCCTTTAACGATTCTTCTTCTTCGCTTCCCGCCTCCCCCCCCTTTTCGACTAGACGTAAGAGTGACCTTCCGCTTGAGTGACCTGTGGTGCGGGCACATGTGGGCCCCCAGATGGCTGAAAACGAAAGCAGGAGCAGCGGCCTGCGCGCCCAGGTTTTGGTTCCCCCGCGGCCCCCAAGAAGCCGCGCACCAGAGGTCACTCTTACCCAGGGCCACGCTTGCCTGTAGCCGACTTTTGCCCCCCCTTCTCCGTCCTCTTCCTCCGAGCCTTCCCATCGCCCTCTTCCGTCGGGTGGTGCCAAGAAGCCGCGCACCAAAGGTCACTCTTACCCAGGGTCACGCTTGCGTGTAGCCGACTTTTGCCCCACCTTCTCCGTCCTCTTCCTCCGAGCCTTCCCATCGCCCTCTTCCGTCGGGTGGTGCGCAGGTCGACGGGGTTGTTCCTACCTTACCGACGGGGGCTCCACGCTCGACAACGCTTCGGTCGGGGATATATTCACGGACGGGTCATGAAGCAAGATGGTCATCCACGATCTCGATGGTGCGGGTTGGGCCTTTTACCGCTATGGCATCGTGACACAAATCTCGAGATCTTAAAGTGCGGGGGCCAGTCTGGCCCCCTTGTCCACAGACGACGCAGGCCGCTGAGTTTCACGCTTGCTCGATCGCGCTGCAGTGGTCGAGTGGTCCTAGCGAGTGGTTTGTTTTTTGTAGAGCGTGCGTTGATTCTCATGCCCTTCCATGGGAAGACCAATGCTCTCCTAAGCGCGCGCACGCTGGATTTGCTCAGTTCTGTCGAGATTTCCCCAGCGGTGCAAAGTGCACAACGTCAAGGCACACCAGTCCATCGAAGGGGCCGAAGATAGCTGGGATTCCTACTTGCGTGAAAGGTAACCATGCTGTCGACGTTTCGGCGAAGCAAGCTGTGTTGATCCACCCACAGCCCGACGGCACGGACGCTGAGGATTGTACTGTAAGCTGGCCCTTGCGAGAGTTGTGGGCATCCTGGACGCGAAGCTCTTACGACTTTGGCCGCGGCTCGATCGTGCAGAGGGTCTCTGGTTGCTGCTCCTTTGAGGAAACAAAAAAAACAGCGTTCGACGCACGCTTGGAACTGGACAGGACGTTTTTTTGGCAGCGTTCTAGATGTTTTCGTGGATCACGTTCAGCCGGCAAGCCGCCCGCGAGCTTGTGCCGTGGCGGCGCGGGCGTCGGCATCCGTGGCATGGATGTTCTTGCGTTTTCTGCTCCGGGGCACACACCGTGCTGCTTCTCGACGCTTCAGACGGCAGTTTTATCATTGTGTGCCTCAAGGGCATGTCCCACAGTGGAGGTGGCCAGGTTGGAAACGTCCGACAGCCCTGCCAGCCGATCCCGAAGGCTGTAGCTCAGGGTCGGAAGCACGCCCGGAGGCAGGTCGCGAGGGGACGGCATCCCAAGCGCGGAGACGCCACGGTCTCTGTTGGCCCCTGGCCCCCGGACCAACAATTAAGAGGAGGAGGAGGAGGAGGCCCACGCGCCCTCTGCCCTGGAAGAGAAGGATGCTGACGAGAGGCGCTGGGCGGATTGGGCCCAGCGCTGTCTCTCGGCTGCCACTTCGAACCTGCCTGGGGGTTTTGGGCGTCGATGGCCAGAGCCAGCGCGCACCATGCCTCACCGCGCAGACAGCGACGCCGACTAGGCATTTATAGGGCCCTGCGCCATATTTGTCTGATCTGTCGGGCTCGGGGGTCGGGTTCGGTTCTGGGGTTGTCCCGAGTCAGCACCCGCCCAGCCCTACCCACCTTTTGGTGTATGGCTGGAGTTCGCCTTTCGCTTCTTCTTGTGCGTTGCTGGCTTGTGCCAGCGCGCTGCTTCCCTCGCCGCGGTGGCAGCAGACTGTGTTCAGACATTTAGGGGAGTGCCCCATGTTTGTCTAGGGGCAAGGTGGGGTCGTGGGTCGGGTCCTGCGTCCGGGGTTGCCCCGAGGCAGCACCCGCCCGTTCTAGCTGCGAGCGGTCCCGCTTTTGGCTCGAACGGGGCCGTGTTTGTCCAGAACGTGGTCGTCCTAGTCTAGAACAGCCCCATTCATGCCTGGTGGCGGCGCGCAGGGCTTCACCTTTTGTTTCGTCTCGCCCTGCCAGTGTGCCCGGGTATGAACTTCGAGCTTGCCTGTTCGAGGTCGGTTTGTGGTTTTATGTTTTGCCTCGGGGTCTCGCCCTCCTGAGGTGACGTGCGGGCTGCATGCTGCGCTGCGGCAGAAAAAAAAACTCACCTTTGTTCTCTCCCCCTTCCGCGTCCCGGGGGGCGCCCATTCCGGGGCATCGAAGGTCGGCCCCCCGCTGTGACGGGTGGGGGGGCGCGGAAAGTGAGGGGGATGAGCTGTGCAGGTAAGAGAGATGTCGAGGGCTAGGAAGAGGAGGAGGAGGAGGAGGAGGAGGAGGAGGAGGAGGAGGAGGAGGAGGAGGAGGAGGAGGAGGAAGCGGAGGAGGCGGCGGCGGCGGCGGCGGCGGCGGCGGCGGCGGCGGCGGCGGCGGCGGTGGAATTCGAGCGATGCAACCTTAAGGGGGTCGGGGCCGGTATAGCATGAGAGGGGTCAGGAGTCAGCGCAGGAGGACAAGGATCGGGGGCAGAGCAGGAGTGAGGACCAGGAGATGGAGCATGAGGACAAGGAGGGAGAGTGAGGATCGGGAACATGAGAATGGTGAGGAGGGGCAGCGGGACCAGGAGGAGGAGGGCGATGGAGGAGAAGAGCCGGATCAGATCGGGAAGGGAGGGAGGAGGGGGAGGAGGACCAGTTAAGGCGGAGGGCGAGGGAGGCCGGGAGCGCGGCCTTGGGCGCACGAGCCGCTCCTCTCGGAGCGGGCGGCCCCGGCCCCGGGAGCACGGGCCTCGACCGGCCCCCGGGAGGCGGAGAGCGCCTCCCTCGTGGCCGGCGGGCAGGTGGTGGACGAGGTGGCCAAGGTGCGGCGGCCGACGACCGCCGGCGACGGCGGCGGCGCGGACGACGACGGCGACGACGACGACGACGAGTACGGCGGCGACGACGGCGGCGGCGGCGACGGCGACGGCGACGGCGACAGCGACTGCCACGATGTCGATGACGATGACGATAGGACAGCCGCCGACCGACGACCGACAACGACGACGACGACGCCGACGCCTACGCCGACGCCGACGCCGACGCCGACGCCGCATTTCAGGGTGGGTTTCCCAAGAGCAGGGTCAAGATGGTGGGGTGTGCTGGGGCGATGTGGTGCTCGTGTGGGGGGTCAGGCCCGTTCCGAGCGAGAAATTGTCGGGTGGGGGTATAAGAGAAGGAAAAAGAGGGTGGGGAGTGCCAGGGCGTTGTGGTGGCCAGGTGGAGGGTCAGGGCCGGTTCTGGGCGAGAAATTGTCGAGTGGGGGATTCCCGAAAACAGCAACCAGAAGGGTCGTATTGCTAAGCAGATCATAGCCTTGCTAGCATGGCACAGTATATCAACGCAGAACATATCATCGCATGTCGTAGCATAGCGTAGCTGAGCACGGCATGACATGGTATAGCGTAGTGTAGCATCGCGGAGTATAGCAGTGCATACAACATCATATCCTGTGTACTATAGCGCAGCAAATCAGAACACAACCATTGCAACGCGCAGTTTACCGATCCAAAGTGCACCAGCTCAATGGGTCGATTCCACGTCTTACATCCTTTCGTCCATTCCTTCTCCATCGCATTTTCTCTTTCTTGCGCAGTTTCTCGAGTCGGCCAGCGCCTGTCCAGCAAGGCCGCTGCGCCAGCTGAATAGATCAGGAGGAGGAGGAGGAGGACGAGGAGTGGAGCAGCAGCAACAGCAATTGGAGGGCGTTGTTCAATAACGTTATTCTCGCTCTGATTCGGATTCAAAATCGATGGTGAGGGGGTCGGTGTTCAGATGGACGTTGTCCTTGCTTTATTCGGGGTTGGTTATCCCAAAACTGTCATGCTGATGCAGTTGTGAAGGATGGGTCGCATAGCCAAGCAATTCATGGCCTCGCATAGCATAGCACAGTTAGTACAGCATAGCAGATCGTATCATAGCATACCGTCACATTGCGTAGCTTAGCATGGCACAGCATAGTGTAGCGTAGCATCGCGCAGCATAGCATGACATTTAATGACACATCATAACATACAATAGCGCAGCATAGCAAAGCATAGCATAGCATATCATAGCATTGCATAACAGAGCATAGCAGAGCAGAGCAGAGCAGAGCACATCATAACATAGCATCGCGCCGCCAACTATTGCATTGCATCGCATAGCATGGCGTAGTATCGCATAGCATGGCATAGCGCCGCGCCTATCCCCCCCCCTTGCGAGGGAAGGGGGGGGGGGTCGGGAGGGGGGAGGTTGGAGGGGAGGGGAGCTCCCCTGGGTTTGATCGATGGCGCCGAGTGTTGGGGGGGCGGGGGGGGGGCACCCCCCGGTTCGAAACGCGCCGCCGAATGTTCCCAAGGCGAGCGCCCGTGAAACGCGTTCTCTTCCACCTCCAGAGGCCCTCGCAGTGCGCCGGGGCCTTCAGAAAACGACCCGGAGGCGTCGATCCAGATTTCGGAGGGTTGACGTTGTGAACAAATCACGACGTCGGCGTTCCGGGAGGAGGAGGAGCATTCTTTTCTGTTCTCGGAGGCGCTCTCTCCTCGTCAGGGTGTGTTCCAGCATCTGCACCTCGTCGAGAACTTTCAGGGGGTGCCCGAATCGCCGTGATCGGCCTCAGGAGGCACGAGTCATGACCCGGAAGCCAGCAGGCGTCGAGGGCACTGATGCAGGACCAACAGCAAATTGAGGGGAGCAAGAGTTGGACAGTGAATCACGAAGTGTTCCGCTCGTTTTGGATTGACTGTACATCGGCGTATCGCCCACCATAGCGCCCAGTAGCGGAAATAGCGCTCAAATGGCGCCCAAGAGCGACCAATAGTGCTATGTGAAGGAGATGCAGTATATCCTCTCTGAGCGCGATTGGGCGTGTGTTATTGGGCGCCGTGGGGACGACCAGACTGTTTCCATGAGGTGTTCTCCAAGCAGGAGAAAGCGGAGAGCGGTCGTGACGGAAGGGGAGGGGCCCGGCCCGCCCCGCCTGCAAGGTGCTGCTCGCCAACTCGCGCTTGCCCTCCTGTGCGCGGTCGCAGGAGGGCTGCTGGCTCCTCTCTCGTCCCTCTGCTCCTCGCGCTCTTGGGCCTCCTCCCGCTCTCCATTGCGGTCCTCTCCCCCCCACCCCCCGCCCCTTTTTCCCCGCCTCTCCAACCTCCCCCCAGAGTGCATTACTCGTCCTCGGCCCCCGCATCGTGGCTCTAGTCCTTAATTGCTGTCAACTCTCCTCCGTGCACCTCCTCGCTCCTCCCCGGTATCGCTTCACGCCTTCAGTCCTCCCTCTTCCTTCTCCATTGCCCCCTCCTCGTTTTATCCCCCCTTCCCTCCTTCGTCGTCCCTGTTCTGATCCTTCCCCCCTCATGAATCATCCCTCGTTCGGTTATCCTCTCTGATGATCCCTCTTCTCATTCATTCCTTCTCATCGCCCTCAGGCAAAACTAGTTTCTCCTCATCCTCTCCACCACCATCCTCGCGGTCCTCGTTCTCCCTCTCTCTCCTCCCACATATACCGTCGCCTCCCCCCCTGTTCCTCATTCCTCTTCGTCCTGATCCTCCTGCTACGCGTTCCAACTCCATCCCCCCTCGCTGCGAGGATTTTGAAACCCTCACAGGACTGGGACGGCGCCATGGCGGCGGTGGGCGACGGCGCATGGGTAGATGCGTTCGAGCAGGCGCCACCTCCCTCACTTCATCCTCCTCCGATCGCCCACCTTCCCCAATATTTAATCCTTCTTCCTTCTGCATCCCTTTTCCCGCCTTCTTGCTCCCACCATTCACACTCCCCTCACCCCTTCATGACCGCCTTCTCGTTCCTCCTCCCTTCTCCTCCCTTCTCCTCCTCCTCCTACTTCCCTTCCTCCTCCTCCTCCTCCTCCTCCTCCCCCTCCTCCTCCTCCTCCTCCCCCTCCTCATCCTCCTCCTCCTCCTCCTCATCATCATCATCCTCATCCTCATCCTCATCCTCATCCCCCTTCCCGCGCCTTTTCCTCCCCTCCGTCCCCTCTCCTTGCTCCCCCCCCCCGTCTCTCCACGTCCCCCTGTCTCGTGCCCAGGAGGACCGCCTCCCGAGCGGCCGAGGCGGCCGGGGCGAGCCTCCTGGGGCCAGCGGCCGAGGGCCTCGTTGGGGCCCGGCCGTGCCGACGCGGCCGCGGACGTTCCGGGCTGATTTCGGAGGAGCGCCAACAACGCACCACCACTTACCAGCCTCGAACGTATCCCTATCCCCAAGATTGGCACGCCAAAAGGCGATGACAATCTCAGGGATCCGCCCGCAGAAAGTGAGGGGATCCCCCTGAGATTGGCATCGTGATGAGGAGGTGCCCCGGCATAGGGATAAGGATGTGTTCCAGGCTGGTAATGCGGCCCCGCGGCGGACGCTCCAGGTTGATTTCGGAGGAGCGCCAACAATGCACCACCACCACCGACCCTGGCCAGGCCCATCCTTCTAGGCTTCCCAGATGGGGCTGGAGTAGATGGGGTCGGGGGATCGCGGCGCATCGCCGATGCATCGCCGATGCGGCTCGATGTGGAGCCTTCTTTGCTTCCCGCCGACGTCGCCGATGCATCGCCGATGCATCACCGATGCATCGCCGATGCATCGCCGATGTATCGGCGATGCGGCGCGATCCTCCGACCCCATCTACTCCGACCCCATCTAGGAGGCCTCTAATCCTGGGCCTTGGACTGGTGTATAGACCTCCGGGCCTAGGCCAGGAGGGCTTGTGCACCAGTCCGGCTCCCAGGACGGGCCTGGCCAGAGCTGTTGGTGGTGTATTGCTTGGAGCTCTCCTATGAACGCCGCTTGCGGCCCAGGATATTCGGCCAGTATCCACCGATCTGGCGATCGAGAAGAGCCGCCGATCTCGATACCCGCCCTCTTCGTCTTCGATCGTACCCCCTTGGGGATATATATATATATATATATATATATATATATATCTCTCTCTTTCTTCCCTGCAACGTGTATTTCGTGAAACCCCTGAGGCAGGGGAAGATCGGACGGATGGAGGGAGAAGACAAGGGTGAGCGAGGAGGAACACGAGCGAGACTAGGAGGAGAGGGTTCGGAGCAGAAAACACGTGGCAGAACCAGACGGGCAGATCGGGCGGGTAGATCTTACCAGGCGGGTAGGGAAGGAGGGCCCGGGCGGCCAGATCATTGTTGAAGCGTGCGTCCTGCATGAATCGCGAGGGAGTCTCGAGCGACAGCTGGATTCCGGAATCAATCGTGAGGAAATCCACGGCGAGAGCGGGATTCATGAATGTCGAGAGCACGGCGTCTGAATAAATTGCTAGGGAAATCCCTCGCGAGAGCGCGATTCCTGAATACATTGTCAGAACATCCCGCGCGAGAGTGCGATTCGGGAATAAATTGTGAGGAAGCGTCAGGCGGGAGCCCGTTGGTGTTGTAGTTCGGGGGCCATCAGTGCAGTTGGAGGAGGAGTATTTTCCTTGATGGAAAATCAAGCAGGGTGCGAGCCTCGGGACAGCAGCAACAAGAACAAGAGGCCGCACTGCGGAACCCGACTGCAGTCACGTACCCTGGGACAGTTATTGACCGCCCGCCCTCTTCACGCTGATTATTCTTCCCCCGCGACTGCGGAGGCTACGGGGCTGCGGCGTTTCAGTTTTTGTTGCCTGCTGTGATTCGCGTGCTGTCGAGAGACGTGGCTCGGGCGATCTTGGGCCGTTCAACCATCTATTCTCCGTCAGGGCTTCTCCCCTTGCCGCCGGCCCCCTCTTCTCGGAGAAGGGGGTATGCAAGAGCTATGCTGTGAGAGCGGTCGTGGGAGCCTCTTGGGCTATCTTGGGACCATCTTGGGCGCCTCGGAGCACTCTTGGGTTGTCTTGGAGGCCTCCTGTACCATCTTGGGAGCCTTTCTTAATGAAGGATTGTGGCTTCGGAAGCGCGAATACTACATACTTCTACAAGGGTTTATGATTTCGGGGCGCGAGGAACGCGTAATGTAGAACGGCTCATGGCGTCGGGGACGCACACATTTTTCGAAATTTATACGAAAGCATTGCCTCGGAGACGCGAGCAGTGCACACTTTACCAGCAAGTATCGTCTCGGGAGCGCGAGCACAGCGTGATTTGCGAGGTTGCATGGCCTCCGGGACGCGAACATAGCTTGATTTACAAACGATTATGTCCTCGGCGGCGCGACCATTATGTAATTTCTGAGGGATTATGGCATCGGGGGCGCGAATCTTAATATTTGTTTTGCCAGGACCCCCCAGAAATTCTGGGACCCCTCACAGGTGGTGGTTATCAGGGTCCTTTTCGGCTCCCCCCCTCGCGCGGACTTCAACAGTTCACAGTAGGAAGCAGAACGCAAGCCTGCAAGATGGGTGGCCTGAAGCTGGAACTGGAGCATGGAGCAGCAAGTCTGACACGCGGAGCCTTGTGGCCCCACGAGGTGGCTGGGGGATTATTGACCCTAAACCTTGTTTTAAATACACTGTTCTATGTGGTAAGCCGATTGTCATCGGGCAATTTGGGACACATTTCTCTACCTGTTTCCTCGCTTCCCTATATCCTCCATTGTTGCTTTTGTGTGAATTTGCTCATTTGCTCCTCCAGTCGTACTCCCCCCTTCCCCCCTCCCCCTGTCCCTTTGCCTACGTGCTCTAGCCGCCGGACAAGTCGCATACGTGGACAGAACGTCTAGGTCGAAGCGTATAAGGTTTGTCGGAAGTTCTCGAGGAATCGATCCGAGCGGTGCTCACCCATGAAAGTCGTGCGGGAACGTGTCACTTCTTGTTTTGGTGTGCACATGTATTCTCTTCGGTGTGGACGACCCTCTTGCTCCTGCTTCGCGTCGGGGTGCGCAGGCCCTCGTGAATTACCCATACCCCTCATCCGTTCTCGCTCCTCTCTCCTCCTCCTCCTCCACCTCCTCCTTCTTCTCCTCCTCCTCCTCCCCCTCCTCCTCCTCCTCCTCCTCCTCCTCATCCCTCTTTCTCTCTCCCCTACTCCTCCCCCGCCCTCCATCGATTCACCTTCCTCATCCCTCCGGGTCTCCATCCTTCCCCCTCATGTTCTCCTCCCTTCCCTTCCGCCCCCATTCCACCTCCTCCTCCCCTCCTCCTCCTCCTCCTCCTCCTCCTCCTCCTCCTCCTCCTCCTCCTCCTCCTCCTCCTCCTCCTCCTCCTCCTCCTCCTCCTCCCCCCCCTCCATCCTCCTCCTCCCCCCCCTCCATCCTCCTCCCCCTCATGAATGCCCTCTGATTGCGGGCGCCAGGCGCCAAAGAGCTGGAGGAGCTTGCGGGAATTCGCGGGCTCACACGTTTTGTGGGGAGCGGTGATCGGCCTCAGGGGCTGTCCACCCGAGCGGAGTGATTTCATGACGTACTGTGTCCAATGCGCACAGTACGTTCAGTTGTTTCTTGTCGGCTTGGCGAAGAGTTGCCCAGCCAGACAACCAGGTTTTGTCCTGGACAAGATGGGCAAAGAGCGTCGGAGCCGCTTCGAGCGTGGCCTCCATCCCAGGACGGGAAGGAAGACCCTTGAGAGCTGGGCTCTCCAGGACCTCGGCTTCCTCACTCACGAGAGTGAGGCCGGTGCGCGTGCACCTCTGCAGAGGGCACGTTTTGCGCTCATCGGCGGGAGCACCGATCCCGCTTGAGTGCTTTTTGATAGTAATATCCACCCGATCGACCTGAGATCAAGATTGCGAGCGGGAATCAGATCGGAGAGGGGTAGAACAAAATTCTTGGAGCTCTAGCGAACTGTTGAAGTTCGAGGAACTGCTTTTTTTGACCCACCGGAATTCTGGAGCAGGAGGAGGCCCCGCGCCCCTCTGCCAGGGCACCAAGCTGGGCTCTCCAGGACCCCGGCTCCCTCACTCGAGCAAGAGCGAGCCCGGAACCGCGGTGCACGCCTGCGGAACCGAGCTGGCACGCTCGGCGCTCGTCGGCGGGAGCACGAGAACTCGTCCCCGCCCACCTCCTCGCCCCCCTCCGAGGAGCAGGAGGAGGCCCCGCGCCCCTCTGCCAGGGCACCAAGCGCACGGCCCTGCACTGGGCCTCCATCCACGGCTGCGCGCCCGCGGCTCTGCGCCTCGCCAACGCCGGCGCCGGCCTCGAGGCGCGGGGGCGGGGCCCGCGGGGGTCTGGGCCTCCCAGGTGGGCCTCGAGTATCGGCCACGTGCAGAGGGGGGAGGAGGGGAGGAGGGGGAGGAGGGGGAGGAGGGGGAGGAGGGGGAGGGGTGGGGAGGGGTGGGAGGGGGGGGGGGAGGGGGGAGGAGGGGGGAGGGGGGAGGAGGGGGGGAGGGGGAGGAGGGGGAGGGGAGGGAAGGGGGGGGAGGGGGAGGAGGGGGGGGGAGGAGGGGGAGGAGGGGGGGGGGAGGAGGGGGGGAGGTGGGGGAGGAGGGAGAGGGGGGGGGATGAGCTCCAGACTGGATGGGTATGGCGGCCTTTCGGCCTTCAAAGCCTTCGAACGAAAAGGAACCGCTCTCATTCCGACTCCGTTTCGCTCCTCCGTTATCCCTCTCTCTCTGTCTCTGTCTCTCTCTCTCTCTCTTCTCTCTCTCTCTCTCTCTATCCCTCTCTCTCTGTCTTCCTCCTCCTCCTCCTCCTCCTCCTCCTCCTCCCAATCATAATCCCCTTTACGAGGCATAATCAAGCAAAACCCTTAGAAAAAACAAAAAAAACAACAAAAAAAACAAACAAAACAATCCTGAGGCAATATTCGGGGGCGAGGGGGGGGAAGGTCTCCTCAGGATTTTTTTGTTTTGTTTTTCCAAGGGTTTTCGCTGACTCCTCCTCCCCACTCCGCCTCCCCCCCTCCCCCTCCTCGCCCTCCTCCCCCCTCCTCCTCCCGACCTCCCCCTCCTCCTCCCCCCTCTCCCTCCTCCCCCTCCTCCCCCTCCTCCCCCTCCTCCTCCCTCCTCCCGTCTTTGGTTTGGTTTGTATTTCCTTGTGTTTGCTTTTGTTTTTGTCATGTCGCGCTGGCCTCTACAGCATGATTCCTATGGAGAGCCTCTACAAAAGGATTACCATTGAGAGCCTCTACAAAAGGATTCCTAGTGAGAGCCTCCACATAAGGATTCCTATTGAGAGCCTCTACAAAAGGATTCCTAGTGAGAGCCTCTGCAAAAGGATTCCTATTGAGAGCCTCTACAAAGCGATTCCTATTGAGAGCCTCAACAAAAAGGATGCCGATTCAAAGCCAAGACAAAACGACTCCTATTGAAACCCAATACATCTGGATTCCTATTGAAAGCCAGTGCAAAAGGATTTCTGCTGAGAGCCTCGACAACATGATTCCTATTCAGAGCCTCGACGAAAAGGATTCCGATCGAAAGCCTTTACAACAAGATTCCTATTGAAAGCCTTCACACACGGATTCTGATTGAGAGCCTCTACAAAACGGATTCCTATTGAAAACCAATACAAAATGATTATTATTGTGACGCAGTACACATGGCTTCCTATTGAGAGCCTATACAACCTGATTCCTATTGAGAGCCTCTATAAAAAGAATTCCTGTTGAAAGCCTCTACAAAAGGATGCTTCATTGAAACCCAATACAACTGGATTTCTCTTGGGAGCCTGTGCAGAAGGCTTCCTGTTGAGAGCCTCGACGAAAGGATCCGATTGAAAGCCTTTACAGAAGGATCCCCATTGAAACCCAATACACATTTATTCCTATTGAGAGCCTGTGCAAAGGATTCCTGTTGAGAGCCTCCACACAGAAATCCCATTGAGAGCCTCTACAAAAAAGTATTCCTGTTCAGAGCCTCTACGAAAAGCATTCCTTCTGAAAGCCTTTCACAACATGATTCCTATTGAGAGCCTCTACAAAAAAGGAGTCTTATTGAAAGCCCATACAAAATTCATACTACTGGAAGTCAATACACATGGTTTCCTGTTGAAAGCCTGTGCAAACGTATTTCTGTTCAGACCCTCCACGACAAGATTCCCATTGAGAGTCTCTACAACATGATTCCTGTTGAAAGCCTCTACACAATGATTCCGAATGAGAGCCTCTTACAAAAAGGATTCCGATTGAAAGCCCATACAAAAGGATTATTATTGAAACGCCATACACATGGCTTCCTATTGAAAGCCTGTGCAAAACCATTCATGTTGACAGCCTCAACGAACAAATTCTAGACGCTTCGCGTATCCCCACCAGCCCGTCCAGAAACGACGCCCAGGCGAGTAGAGGGTCGTCCTGAGGGGCTTTTCGGCGTCTTGGGTGCCTCGGGGGGGCCTCTGTGGGCCGTTCGGGATCCTCTTTGGGGCCTCCTGGGGGCCTCTTGGGGCCTCTTGGGGCCATCTTGGGGCCTTTGGGGGCCTCCTGGGCGCTTCTTGGGAGGCTTGGGCTCCTCTTGGACCCGTCTGGGCGCCCTTGAATGCCCTGCTGGGGCGCTCTTGGGGCAATGTTGGAGGACATCGACCAAGGAAGTGGGGTTCCCTAATTACAGCCCCCACCCCAGGAGCTCCAAAAATCGCTTCCTGGACCCCTCTTGGATCGCTCTTGGAGCGCTCGTGGCCGCTCTTGGAGCCATCTTGAGGCTCTCTTGGGCCCCTCTTGGAGCTATCTTGAGCCATCTTGGAGCCATCTTGACGCGTCGGATGTGCATCGCAAGCGAAAAAGTGAGAGCACCAAACACATTGATTTTCCCTAGGGTTTTGACGCATTTTGGCCTCTTGGATGCATCCTAATGATGCTCTTGTGGCACTTGGAACCGTTTTGGGGAGTTCTTGGAGCGTCTTGGAACATCATGGGGACCATCTTGAGGCATCTTGCGCTATCTTGAGCCATCTTGGAGGTCATCTTGAGCTCCCTGAGGCCCTCTTGGAGCCGTGTTGGGCCGTCTTGGACGCTCTAACTACCCGCGGCCCCCCCTGTCCAGGTCAGCGGGGAGGGGGTAGGGGGAGGGGTAAACCCCTCCCCGAAGGGGAAGAAGGAGGGGTGGAAGAGGAACCGCTCTAAACCACCGACGCCCAGAGGGCTGGTGGGATTCTCATTGAGAGCCTCTACATAAGGATTCCTACTGAGAGCCTCCACGAAAGGAGTCCTAGTGAGAGCCTCTACAAAATGATTCCTAGTGAGAGCCTCTACAAAAAGATTCCTATTGAGAGCCTCTAGAAAAGGATTCCTATTGAGAGCCTCTACAAAAAAATCCTAGTGAGAGCCAATACAAAAATGATCCCGATTGAAACACAAGACTACTGCATTACTATTGAGAGCCGGTGCAAAATGATTCCTGTTGAGAGCCTCCAAAGAGGATTCTCATTGAGAGCCTCTACAAACATATTCCTATCGAGAGTCTCTTCGCAACGATTCCTATTGAAAGCCTATCCATAAGGATTCCTAGTGAGAGCCTCCGCACAAAAGGATTCCTATTGAAAGCTAATGCGAAAATAACATTATCGAAACGCAATACACATGGCTTCCTATTGAGAGCCTGTGCAAACAGGAGGTGTAAGAGAAGGAGGAGGAGGAGGAGGAGGAGGAGGAGGAAGAAGAAGAAGAAGAAGAAGAGAAGAGGAAGGGAGAAGCACCGAGCACGGAGGAGGGCCGAAATGCCGCCATACCCATCCAGGGGATGGGGAGAGGGGGAGGAGGGGGAGGGGGGGAGGGGGGGGAGTGGGGGGGAGAGGGGGGGAAGGGGGGGGAGGGGCGGGGAGGGGGGGAGGGGGGGAGGTGTGGGAGAAGGGGGATAAGGGGGGAGGTGGGGGGGGGTGAGGGCGGGATGGGGGGGTTGAGGTGGGGGGAGGAAGAGAGGGGGGGAGGAGAGGGGGGGAGGGGGCGGGGGGAGGGGGAGGGGAGGAGGGGGGTGAGGGAGGGGGGGAGAGAGGAGGGGGGGAGGAGAGGGGGGAGGGGGCGGGGGAGGGGGGGGATGGGGAGGAGGGGGAGGGATGGAAGGGGGGGGAGAGGGGGGGGGGGAGGGGGGAGGGGGGGAGGAGGGTGGGGAGGGAGGGGGGGAGAGGGAAAGGGTGGGAGGAGGAGGGGCCGGGGGGAGGAGGGGGGGTGAGGGGAAGGGGGGTGAGGGGAGGGGGGGGAGGAGGGGGGGAGGTGGGGGAGGAGGGGGGAGCGGGGGGGAGGGGGGGGGGGATGGTGAGGAGGGGGAGGAGCGGGGAGGGGGGGGAGGAGGGGACGGGGGGGATTGTTTGGGGGGGGGAGGAGGGGGGAAGGGGGGGGGGTGGGAGGGGGGAGGGGGGGAGGGGGGGGGGGAGAGGGGGTAGGAGGGGAGGTGGGGGCGGGGGGGAGGGGGGGGTGAGGAGGGGGAGGAGGGGGAGAGGGAGGGAGGGCGGAGGGGGGAGGAGGAGGACAAGGGGGGAGAGGAGGGGATGGAGGTAGGGGAGGGAGGAGGGGGAGGTGGGGGGAGAAGGGGGATGGGGAGGAGGGGGAGGAGGGGGGAGGGGGGGGAGAGGGGGGGAGGGGGGGAGGGGGGTGAGAGAGGGGGGGAAGGGAGGGGGGGGGGGGAGTGGGGGGAAGGGAGGGGGGGGTGAGATGGGGGGATGCGTCGAGGGTGGGCAACACCCCCAGCAGTGACTCCGTTGTCGGTTCTCGAGAGGGCGCCGTGGCCGTTGTTTTCCAGGCTTGCGCCCGCCAGGTTTGAGCCTCAGGTCGTTTTCACTAAACCACGTTTTACTAAAGGGGGGTCTGTCCCATCCTCGAATGGAGGGGAGGTTTGAAGCATGGGGCGGGCCTGAACGGTGCTTTGGCGATCTCGTGGGCCGTTCTCGAGTCGGCTTCGATCTGCAGGAAAAAAAGAGGCAGACTGAAGACCAGACGAGGGAGAGCGAGAACATAACGAATACGACGAACACTGTTTAGGTCCAGCCCTGCTTTGGAGCACCCTGCTCCTTACGTAGAAGGCGCCAGCCTTGTCTACAGATGTAAGGCTGGCGCCTTCAAGAGGCTGACTCCTTCGACGAAGCCGTCCCCCTTCCCCTAATTACTCCCTTGTTGACGAACGAGCAACGCGCACCCATGCCCATAGGTGGGACGGAGGGGGCCATTGGTGCGTGGTCAGATGGAGATCACCGCTCGAACGGGAGCCTTCCACAGGATCCGACATGCCGCACCCATACCCATAGCTAGTCATTTTCTCTCCGACCCTACTATGGGTATGGGTGTGTGTTGTTCGCTCGTCATTTAAGCGGGCCACCAGGAGTAGATGAGGTCCGGGAATGGCGCCGCATCGCTGGAGCATCGGCGATGCGGAGCGGTGCGGAGCCAGACTTCCTCCACTCCGACGTCGTCGATGCATCGCAGATGTCACCGATGCATCTCGTGCGACGCGATCCTCGGACTCCATGTTTCGGACCCCATCTGTCAGGAGGGAAAAAACACACAGACACAACAAATCTTCGACTCCGTAGAACGTCTGATGGTACATATGGGAAGTGGAGGGTAAGACGAGGATACAGAATATATGTGGAAGTAGAGGGGAGGACAACCCCAGCACGGGCGTTCAAGCTTGTACGCCGACATGGGCTTAGAGTCGGCCGATATCGAGCTATCTGCACAATCGGACAGCCGCGATCGTTCAATGATGAACAATCCGAGCGGTGCCAGACATCGACGCGCAGATCGTCACGATACGAACTGCCGCAGCCCCATCCCCCAAGAAGTCCGCGCGGACCTCCGACAATCGGTTTTAATGCAATCAGAGGTCCAGAGGTTGGCACCAACACAAATGTCGTCTGAGTGCCTCCGCCGAGGGAGGATGATCCAGATGTCGGTGATGGTGGTAAAGACACGAGCTTTTCAGGTGGCCGAACGATTACCACAAACACTTGAAATTCTAGGATGGTCTTCCCCCGGTGGAGGCGAACACCTGCGTTGGTGTCGTTGCCCATTTCGGCGGCGGAAACCCGAAACCTACCCTCGCCGCTCAACGATTCGGGCAACTCGATGGGCGGCGGGGGCAGGCTTCGGAATTCCTCGGACACGTGGCGACGTCCGAGCCCCGCCCCCTCCTCCCATCGGTCCGGGAGAGTCGATGTCTGGTGGGGGTGGGGTTCGGATGTCGCCACCCACACCTCGGAGCCTCCGAGGCCCCTGCCTCTCCTCCTCCTCCTCCTCCTCCTCCTCCTCCTCCTCCTCCTCCTCCTCCTCCTCCTCCTCCTCCTCCTCCTCCTCCTCCTCTCCGTCCTGCTCCTGCGAGGGGCGCGCTGGGAGCAGTGCAAAGGGGGGGGGGGGGAGGGCCCCTCTCCCGGAGGTCCGCGACGCGGACGGCTGGACGGCGGTGCACTGCGCCCTGCAGAGCGGGCACGTGGAGGTGGTGGCCGCGCTGCACTTCCTGGGGGCGTCGCTGTCGGCCAGGAGCCCCGCGGGGGGGGGGGGGACTGCCACTGCGCCCGCCCCCCGGCGCTTCCTCCGCCGCCTCTTCCCCCCGCCCTCCCTCCGCCTCCCTCCTCCGTGCCTCGTCCTCCTCCCTCGCGTCGTTCCTCCCGCATCCCTCCTCCTCCCTATCTCTTCCCTCTCTCCTCCCTCCTGCCCACTCCTCCATCCATCCTCCATCCCCCCTCCTCCATCCCACTTCTCACTCCCTCCCTCCTCCATCCCTCTCTCCTCCCTCCCCCCTCTCCCTCTATCCTGCATCTATCCTACCTCATCCCCTCCCTCCTTCATCCCTCCTCCATCCCCCTTCATCCTCTTACTTCCTACATCCCTCTTCCTCCCTCCTCCCTCTTCCATCACCCTCCCCATCTTCAGGAGGGTGGCGCACTGATGTCGGGAAGAGTGAGACTCGAGTGCGCTGGAAGTCGGGTTTGGCAACGTTTTTTTCGCGGGCCGATCTTGAATTTTGACGGCCCAGTGTTCGTGATTTATCAGCGGGAGTTCGCATCACATTCCAGTTTGTGCCTCGCCATTTTTCTAATGGCCCCGTCAGTCAGGAGCGAAAGAAGGACGCACACGTGCATGAATCCACGCTGGTTTCGAGATCACGCATTGCGCAAATGCTCGTAAAAGGCGGCCCGTCTCGCGGATCGAGGGGCCGTGTTCATGTACATAGTTGGGCGCGTACACCGCGCTCACATCTATACCCCTGGGTGGGTGTATGTGCGGCCGTTTTTGCTGTGTCATGTGCGCGCATGTGCGCGGCATGTGCCAGTCATGTGCCAGGCCTGTGCGGTCCTTCTTGGATGGACTTCCTACTGTGCACGTCGTGCCCGGGCATGTGCGGGGGCATGTGCGTTGTGTTTTGATGTATCCATCATACGCACATGCACGCACAGTCCGACGCACATGCGCGCACATGCCTGCACATGCGGGAGGTGTTCGAGAATCGCAGATCTGTCATCGGCACATGCACGCACATGCCTGTGCAACCTCTCTTCGGGAGGCCGCGCGGGCCCGCACATGCACGCACATGCGGTGAAGCGCGCGGGCGCACATGCGTGCACATCCCAATGCACATGCACGCTCATGCCCTAGGAGCTGTCTGGGACCCCTGTGCCTCCAATGCCTCCTGGCCTGCGCAGAGCTAACCTGGGGCGTGCCAGGGTTTCCTGAAAGAGTTTGTTGTGCGTTTAGACTCGCCCGCTGCTGGCGGGGGCGGTTATTCGCCCGGTTTGTGAGCTGGCGGTGGCGCGCCCGCCTAATAAAATACTCTCCCGCGCGCCTTCTCAGCTCGGCCGGAGAAGCAGGGATGGGGGGGGGGGAGGTGGAGGGGGGGGGGGAGGAGGGGGGGCGGAGGAGGCGGGCGCCCCCGGCCACTGGCCAGCCTGCCTGTTCGGCTCGGCCAGAGGAGAGGAGGAGGAGGAGGAGGAGGAGGAGGAGGAAGAGGAGGAGGGAGGAGGAGGAGGTGAGAGTTGCGAGGCTGTCTCAGGCGAAAGTGGCTTGACGGCCCGAGCTCAGGGAATCTCGGAATCGCTGGCCTGGCTCGGCCACCGGCGAGCTCGGCCTGTGCGAATACTGTGCGTACCTGTGCAGTGCATGTGCGGGACGTGCAAGAATGCCGGGGCCGGCGTTCGTCTCCAGACGCCGGCGCGTTCGCGTCCGGCCAGTTCCGCGTGAGACGTCGTCGGCAATTTGGAGGCCGACGTGCTTTGACATGAAGTGATCTGGCCACCTTCGCCTGAGACATCCTCGCAACTCTGGTCTCGGAGATGCCCTGCCCCATGGTGGCCCGGCCACTTTCGCTTGAGACATCCTCGGGACTCTGGGTTTCGAGACGCCCTGAGCTGAGGTGGTTAGACCACTTTCGCATGAGACATCCTCGCAACTCTGACCTCAGAGATCTCCTGCCCCATGCTGGTCAGGCCACGGTCGCCTGAGACATTCTCGCAAGTCTCGATTCCGACATGCCCCGAGCTGAGGTGGTCAGCCACTGTCGCCTGAGACATCCTCGCAACCCTGATCTCAATGATGCCCTGCTCGATAGTGTCTCGGCCCCTTTCGCCTGAGACATCCTCGGAACTCTGGGTTCCGAGACGCCCTGAGTTGAGGTGGCTAGACCACTTTCGCTTTAGACATCCTCGCCCGAGATGCCCTGAGTTGAGCTGTTCAGGCCACTTTTGCCTGAGACATCCTCGCAACTCTGACCTCAATGATGCCCTGCTCCATAGTGTCTCGGCCTTTTTCGCCTGAGACCCTCGCAACTTTGGGTTCTGAGATGCCCTGAGCAGGTGGTCAGGCCAGTCCTGCCTGAGACATCCTCGCAACTCTGGGCTCCGAGATGCCCTGGGCTGAGGTGGTCAGACCACTCTCCCCAGAGACATCCTCGCAACTCTGACCTCAGAGATCTCTTGCCCCATGGTGGTCAGGCCACTTTCGCTTGAGACATCCTCACAACTCAGACCTCGGAGGTGTCCTGCCCCATGGTCGTCTGGTCACCTTGACCAGCGACATCCTCGCCACTCTGGTTTCCAAGATGCCCTGCCCCATGGTGATCCGGCCACGCTTGCCTGAGACATCCTCGGAACTCTGGGTTGCGAAATGCCCCGAGCTCAGGTGGTCAGGCCACTATCGCCTGCGACATCTCTGCGGCATGTGCGGGCATGTGCGTCTATGCTTTCAGAGTTTTGCTTGACCGTGCATTCGACTGTGCGTCGGACGGTGTGGCATGTGCGCGCATGTGCGGCAATGCTGTTGAGGCTTTTGTATATTTGCATGGGCATGTGCATGCGACTGTGCGGCATGTGCCTGCATGTGCGGCCCCTTCCGGACAATTTCAAAGTGAGCACTATAGAAGTGAGCGCTATAGAAGTGAGTCCGGTGTACGTCCTTTGTGGGCTCCATGCCAATTCAGGTCCCGTGAATTCGAGTCTTACGTCTCCCCTTGCAATGGGGCGTTGCGGACCATGTAGTATGCGGGGTTTCAGTTCCGATTACGGGGTGGTGGTGCTTGGCCTCCCGAACGGCTCTCTGGTTTGGCAAAGCTCTCTGGTTTGGCAAACTAATCCTCTGATTCGTCATGACAGGCTGCAACAACCGACTACAGTGATAGAGAACAGATCTTGTGTTTTCCAAATTGTTTTTTTCACCCAGCGCCGCGCATTTTCGTTCTCACTGCTTCAGCAGTTGCATGGGCAGACGGGGGTCGTTTTCAAAATGGGGCTATCGCCTTCGTGCTGCACACATTCGCCTTACCAGTTCGCAAGAGGTACATCGAAAGAGGACGGTTCCTTTCCAACATTGGGCAGCTGCACGGGGGAATGGCTGTTTCTTACCCCGAAATTCATGCCCAGAAGTGCAAATTGGTGCAACATGTAAACGGATGGGGGGGCAGCTCTGTTTTCCCAAACAGGGATCTCGTTGGCTACCTCGGTCACTTGTGTGATGCTACCTTCTAGCATTCGTGATTATGCACCAGAAGGGTGCAATCCAGCTTCTTAGAGCAAGGGTGCTTTGGCCTGAATGGCAGACCCATTTGGCGTTGGTCTTTCAAGGGGGTGCTTCCTGCAGTGGGTACGAAAGCTTCCATATACTTTTGAGGCGGCGACCTGGAATGGGCGGCTGTACTTCGGTAGCAATCCATTCGTGTCCTCGCAATTCCGTCTTTAGGATGCATTGGCGTACGCTGGTGTCTGGCAACCGATGAGAACTCGCAGATTTCGCATTGGTTAGCGTCGACTGGCGTCATACTGCGTCGATTCGCAAGAGCCAGCAAGATGGCATGGGAGGTTTCCATGAGTTGCCACCGGATTGCTTTGTGGCATCGTTGATGCACCTTGAGTTTTCTCAGGTCCCCCCTTCTCCCTCCTGATCGACCCCGCACCTTACCTCGGGATGTCGTGCGAGGGCGGAGGTGCACCATCGAGAGGGGCACAGGGGGGAGGGGTGGGCCCTTCTTGTCGTCAACGTCTCCCGCCCTCCCTCGGGAGTATGGGGGCGGAGGGGGGCCCATGGCTGGCCCCCTTCTCCTCGCCACCCTCTTCGTTGTCCATCCTGGCTCTCCCATTTCCTGTCGGCGTCGTCGTCCTCCTCCTCCTCCTCCTCCTCCTCCTTCTCCTGTTTCCTCCCCGTTGCGTTCTAGTCTGGCTTCCAGCTCTTCGGTTACCCATATTGCGTGCACGTGGGAGAGGGAGAGAGAGAGAGAGAGCGTGTTGATTTGCTCGGCTGTGTGTGTTTTGTGTTTTGCTGCTCGTCGCATTCGCCCTCCGACTTGTCCGCTCTCCGACTTCGGCGCTTTCCTGTGATCTTCGCTTGGTGAGTCTGCTCCATCGCATCCGATGCGTCATGTTCTCCGTCTTTTCTGGCTGTTCGCACTCCCATTCCCTTGGCATCGCTCGGACGTGTGCAGTGTTCCCTCGGCGAGGGCCATCGAGGAGCATCCTTGATCATTTCGCGAAACAACCCACGCACGAAACCGACAAAAAAAACACAGGGGATGGACGTCCGAGCGACGGCCAGTTCCTCTCATCCTCGCGTGGCGAGAGTCTCGCCCGGGCCTCGGCGCCCGCGGCGCGAGGGCAGCCCGCGGGCGGGGCGGGGGGGGTCGGCGGGGGCCGGAGCGGGGGAAGCCCGCGGGGTGCAGGGGGGAGAGGGCGGGGGGGAGAGGGAGGGGGGGGGGAGAGAGCGGGGAGGGGGGAGAGCGGGGGGGGAGGGCGAGAGCGGGGGGAGAGAGAGCGGGGGGAGAGAGCGGGGGGGGAGAGAGCGGGGGCGAAGGGGGGGAGGGGGAGAGAGCGGGGGGCGAGGGGCGTGGGGGGCGGGGGGGAGAGGGAGGCGGGGGAGAGAGTGGGGAGGGGGGGCAGCCTCCTTCTGTTTCTTTTGGTTTGCCTTCCTCCTCTTCTCCCTCCTCCTTCACCTCCTCCTCCTCCTCTCCTCCTCCTCGTCCTTCTCCCCCTCCTCCCCCTCCTCATCCTCCTCCTCTTTTTGTTCCTCGGTTGTTGTTGGCGCTCTGCGCCTTCCGTACCATGCCTGGATCTTCTCAATGAGGTTCACCAGGGTTTGTGTTTTCGGTCCTCTAGGCATATTCTGGTCTGACATTTGGCCCGGGCTCCGGGGCGCCCTGCCCTCACAGGTGGCTTCTTTGCTCGGCGGAGGTGACGGGCCTGCGCCTGCACAGAAGAAGGACGGCTTCCCCCAGCAGCCCCTTCTATTCCGCCTTGACTCCCCTCCCCCTTCCTTTAAGTCGGGCGTGTCCCCCTACAGGGGGATTTTCGACGAAAAATAAGAAATACACCCAAAGTAGTCAAACAATAGTGCAAAAAGAGTCTGGGGACTTCTTTTTCTATTTTTTTTTTAATATCTTTTGACCTTTTTGGTGCATGTTTGGGGTATCTCTTAGTTTTCGTCGAGAGTCCCCCTGTAGGGGGACGCGCCCGACATAGCCCCTCCTCCTCCTCATCGGGGAGGCGGGGTCAGGCCCTCCTCGTCCTCCCTCGCTCCTGCCCCCCCCCCCCCCGCTTGAAATTGTCTCTTATTGTTCATTGTGGGTCTCTAATTATTTAATCGCTTCGCTCATGCCGCCGGCCCTGGAGCCCTCTTTAGGGCCTCTTGGGGGCCTCTTGGGGACCTCTTGGGAGTCTCTTGGGGCTCCTTGGCGGCGTTTTGGAGGCCCCCAGGGCCTCTTGGGGGCTCTTGGGGGTAGTCGATTGCGGCTCCCCCCTCGGAGGTCACATTATTGTTCATTATTTCTATTCTAAGCCTAATTCTATCATTCTTATCGATATAAGACC